TTGATGAAGCTAGAGAACAAAAAAAAAAAACAAAACAAAACAAAAAAAAGTTTGAGGCTATCTCAATAGAAATGGGTGGAGAGATATTCCATGTTTGTGGACAGGAAGACTCAATATTATCAAGATGTGAGCACTTCTCAGCTTGACCTATAGATTAATGCACTCTCAGTCAAAATAAACTAATTCCAAAGTGTATATGGAGAGGTAAAAGATTCAGAAAAACCAATACAATATTGGAAGAGAAGAATAAATTCAGAGAACTGACACTAGTTAACTTCAAGACTTGCTATAAAGCTACAGTAATCAAAACAGTGTGGAACTGATGAAAGAAAAAACAAATTGATCTATGGAACATAATAGGCCCGCATGAATAAAATCAAYTGATTTTTTTATGAAGGATCAAGAATATATACAAGAAAGCCACCCTCAACAAATGTTTCTGAGACAAGCAAATATCCACATGCATCATACATAGATCTAATTGTAAAAAGTAAGTCTATAAAACTCTTCAAAGATGTCATTGGAAAAAATACAGATGGTCTACTCTTTGGCAATTGGTTTTAGATACATCAAAGACAAGATTGACAAAAATGATAAGCTGGATTTAATCAAAATAAAATTTTTCTGCTCTATGAAATACATTGTCAAGAGAATAAAAAGAGAAGCTATAGACTGGGAGAAAATATTTGCACGAGATAAATGAGATAAAGAGCCGTTAGCCAAATATACAAAGGAAGTTTTTGGTGTGTGGTGCTGAAGATTGAATTCAGGGCCTTATACATGTTAGACTAGAGCCACACCCCCAGATTTTAATAATTCAATAATAAAAAGTAACCTGGTTAAAAAATGAACCAGAGACATTGACACCCCACCTAAAAAGACATACAGTTGAAAAACATGTAAATAGATGCTCCAAATTATACATCAGGGAAATGCAATTTAAAGCAATGATATTTCATTCAATGATATTTTATTCTTATTTCAAGTTACATTCCTAACTTGAAAATGATAGGAAAATGGTACAACAATATCATAAGAGTCTGATGGTTTCTTACAAAACTAAACATACTCGTCCCATAYAACACGGCAACCGAAATTCCTTGAGATTTACACAAAGGACATTAAAACACTGCTACAAAAAACCTACATAAGAATGCTCATAGCAACTTTATTTATAATTCCCAATACTTGGAAGCAACCAAGATGTGCTTCAGTAGATGAATAAATAAACTATGATACATTCAGACAATGAAAAATTTTTTACATTCAGCACTAAAAAAGAAAAATGTGCTAACAAGCAATGAAAAGACACGGAGCAAATTTAAATGCATATTATAAGGAAAATACACCAGTTTGGAAAGGCTATATGCTATATGATTCGAATATGGCACTTTGAAAAATGTAAAACTATGGAGAGAGTAAAAAGATCTGTGGTTATCCGAGGTGAGAGGAAAGGAAGGATGAACAGGCAGAGCACAGAATTTTTAGGGTAATGAGAATTGCTCTGATGGATACTGCAATGGTGGACATGTGTGTCATTATATGTTTGTTAAAACCCATTAAAAAAGCAAAACRCCAAGAGTGAGCCCTGATGTGAACTATGCATTTTGGGTGATCATGATATGTCAGTGTGGGTTCATCAATAGTAACAAATGCACCACTCTGGTGGGAGATCTTGACAGTGGGGGAATGGCAGGGGTTGTAYGGGTTGTGTATACGAAATCTCTACCTTCTGGTCAAGTTCACCATGTACCTACAACTGCTCTAAAATGAAATCTACTAAAACATCTTTAAAGTTATGGATGATTGAGTAAATGTTTGAAACTTTCATGAAAAAAAAAGATTAAATGAGTTAACATAAGATTAGATCAGTGCCTGGCATATTAAATGCTTAATAATTATAGTTCTTACTAAATAGTTCTTACTAAATAGCATATAGTTCTTACTAAATCCAACTGGTTTTAGATACATCAAAGACAAGATTGATGAAATCTCTGTTATGACTACCTCCATTTTACACATGAGGAAACTAGCTCAGAGAAGCTAAAAAAAAAAATTGCTTATAGTCACACAGCTAGTACTGGCACTGCTGTGAATCTCTTGACTCGAAGTTTGGTGTTTTTTCTACCACCTACCCTACTTCCACAATGAAACTATAAATAAATATATCTGAGTCAGCAAAGACATCTTGCTTACATTCCTAACTTGAAAATGGTATACTAATTGTATGTAAAATAATTTTGATCAAATATCACACCTCCAGAGACAGCGATTTTTAAGGATATCATCAATTGTTAAGCATTTAGTTCAGATAGGACAAGGTCCTTTAAAGTCCTAAATCTCTCATCGAGTTAAGTAGTTTAGGAAGACTGCAGACAGACAAAGCACAAGATCAGGTGTCAGAAACTCGGGGTGGAGTCCTGGTTTGCTTGCTCACTGCTCTGGCATCCTGGATAAGTTACTCAAACCCTCTTCACGTTAAGTGATCCTTGTGAGTCCAAAATAAGATAAAGGAAGTTAGTGCAAAGTGAACTACAGAACTCTGGAAAAATAGAAGGTATTACTCTTATCTCACAGTCCAGATGTCAGAAAGACCTATTTCTTATGAACATTGCCTCAAAGCAAAACTGCCCCCTGYCTTTCTGAAATGATCCTTTCATAAATAAACAAAATCAAATGAAATTTCTCAGCATTTCACAGCATTTCCATTCCTAGAAACCATGAGCTAAAAAAAGAACACAGAGATATTCACTTGGAAGCTCCAGCTTATTTTCCTCCTTTCTTCTTTCAAAACTCTGAAGAATATTCAAATGTTATATCCTTTCATCCTTAAGCCTCCACATCAAAACTAGCTGAGAAGATTTTTGTTCCAGGGGCAAACCCACCATCTTCCTTTAATTGCATGACTGTTAACCACTGTAAATATGTTGTTCCCTAGACACTGCAAAAACTGGGAGGTGGGGTGGGGAGGGAGAACAGGGCTCATTGAGAAACAGTGAGAAAATGGGGTGTCCACTGATGGCCGCCTGTGGAGCCAATCAGAAGAGAAATCTGCAAGTCCAAACCTTCTCACCTAAATAAACAAAAGGAACTTCTCCAGCTGGGTGAGTACTGAAGTAAAAAGGATAAGCAAATGAGTAAACACCATTTCCGCATCCAGTCCAGGTGCCCTGAGCAGCAACCTTTCCACCTCCACATCACCTGGTTACTCTGCATAATCCATCACTGTCTTGTCTACAGTCCTACCTGTCTSGTCTAACTCACCACAAAAGTTTAAAACCACTCTCCAAATAACCAATTGTTTTAGCTCATATTAACTCCCCAAATAACTGTAAATAAAGTTCTATTCCAGATTGTACAGATGCTCCAGAAAAAAAGTCTGGAGGTAGGAAGATGGCAATGAAGTGTTTAAGCACAGAGAAAATATATTACATGTTTGACAAAAACACTGGAGCAATAAAATAGCAATAGGTACTAGACAAAATAAAAGACAAGGCAGTTATCAACTCCAGGAAAAACAAAGAGCTATATAAGAGAGGAGTCATGGTCATATGTTATTGTGGGCTCAGTAACGAAAAAATACTTTTAAAATCGTAATATTATTATTCTCAACTACTAATTTAACAACATACTGTTATATAATTTTATTGTGGGATGGATGGAAAGAAATTGTGTGAAGAGTAAAAGTGCTATCATCTTTCCCCTTAAGTCAATAAACAAAGAAGAAATAGTAAATGCATGTTTAGGGTAAAAGAGCAAATAACAGGGAAGCAAAGGTGTTATTATATTTATACGTGATTTATATATATATATATATATATATGTATATATGTGTATATATATATATAAAACACACATTTATACACATAAATGTGTGTATAAATATATATATATATTTGTAAACATATATGTGTGTATGTGTGTGTGTGTGTGTGTGTGTATACACACACACATATCCATTTTTTCAGAGTTCTGTAGTTCACTTTGCACTAATATTCTTTATGGGGATATAACATCCATTACAGGGATGGATGGAGATATATATATATATATATATCTATATCCTATAAAGATGGAGCCAAGAAATGGAGAAACGCACTATTTTTTTTCTTTATGAGCCTTATAATATTTTTTGGTTTTCAAAAGTATGAATATGTATTACACTGACTAAAAGTATATATCTTAATAACTAAAATTTAAAATCTCTGTGACTACAAGATGTAATCAAAAGTGAAGGTTGTAGGAATACAACTCAAATAAGTAATTAGCCTCAAACCAAATAATCATAAACATCTTTATTGTTAAAATCTTACACACTCATAAAAATGTTTTCTTCTCTCTTTATAATATACCAATTCAAAAATCACAAGACTTACCACCAATTGCTTTGATGTTACAACAAATTCTAAAACATCTGATGAATCTTCCGATGCCTCTGATTTATCACAGGAATTAACCTAAAGTACTTCTTTTGCTAATATTTTCAGATTAATCTCTACCATGTTCTTGCTTTTAGTCATCAGAGTCTACATTAAATACCTTAATTTATTCCAACTAATGACAATTGTTTTTTATACTAATATTTACATATACTATAAATACCTAAACAAAGCATAACATTTTTCTCTCAGTAAAGGTAATTCTTTTGAAAAAACAGAATCAGCTTTAAGCTTTTTAAAAATATATGCCTACAAACTGAAAGGATATATTCTCCAGTAATAAATCTAAAATTTTGCAATGATTATATACCATTTCACAATTTTCTTTGAAGTTTGGTTTTTATCTAAAGCAAGCAACACACCCCATTCCATTAGCTTTAAGTCTTCCTGAACTAGACATTTTAAGCTTAGAAATAATGAAGTTGTACTGTGAAACATACGCATTCATAGATAATAACAGTCGATTAGCATTCATCTACTGTGATTTAGCATTAAAAACAGACAAATTGTTTTAATAAAAACCAATTCAAACATCGAATTTAGGAAAAGTGATTTGTTTACCTCTGTTGGATTGTAGCAGTCTACAAGAGCTTCCTAGAATTAAACACATGGAAAATCAGTTTTATTATTTTAAAATTCAATGCCACTTTTAAAATGCAATTAAAATCATTTTGTCTCTATACTATTATTTTTACAATGATAAATCAAGACTTCATATTGGTTATCCACAATCAAACTTTATGTCAACACTAGCTGGTCATTTGAACATATTAAAATATGCAAGGATGCACATACATGCATGCACACCTTTACTTTAGAAAGTTTTGAAATAGAAAAAGACAGTGTTTTAATGCTCTTATAGCATTGAAAAAAAAACCCAACCACTGACTAGACTACGAGCACCACTGAGGAGAAGGACTTACTTTAAAAAGTCAGGGGGAAATGAAAGTGACCATCAGGTTCTAGTCTGCAGAGAGATGCATACTGACTCTGAAGCTCAACCCAGGATGGCCCTTAACAGGAAGTGAATGTCCCACTGCATTGTTCTTGCATTAACTGAACCAGAGGGATCCTCTAACCCACCTACCTTGGTGCATGTCCACCTTTTTCCTTTGGGCTGTATACTTTGTTAATATTAAACTGTATAAACTTGAAGTTGAGATCACCTGTGCAAGAGGATGGTGATCACAGTGGACCTGGAGAGGAAGCTTGGTCATAATTCAGCCACAAGACAGCTTAGGACCCAATCTCTTCAGGTTCCATGTCTCAGCTGGGAATCAAGGTGGGGGAATGACAGCTGAGAAAGCCCCTTTTAAGTTCTTGATTTTAAAACAACCTTTTTATGTCACTCTACTTCCTATAGAACTGGGATGTACCTTATCTTTTTTTTTTTTTTTTAACTTTTATAACTAGGATGCTGTTGTCTTCCAACTAAATCTACCCACAAGAAATAATCATTACAACTGAAGCTGTCCACCACTTGAGGGACACTAGTAATTACTAATAAATTAAACATATCAATGCATTAAAATGTGCCCTTTGATTTGCTTTATGACCATTCATCCTTGGTGATAACCATTAACAGTAATTAACAGTGGACATTAAGAACAATGGCAGGTTAAAGTTTAATTAGTTTTAGAAACTTCCAAATGCAATTTTTAAATGATAGATTTAGCCTCCCGTGGGAAAGACTACACCTATTTTATTGCTTTCCACTAGGAAACAGACATTGGCACCTTGATTAATTTGCTAGAATGCTGTCAGGTGAGATCTGTTAAAAGATATCTTACTAAATAGAATTACGCCATAAGCAAACTAATCCAGAAATTAATGTCAAGCATGATACAATCCACCTCTGGGCTTGGACAGTCCCAGTTCCACTCAGTTCATCTCCCTCTTATATGCTCGTGGGCACCACTATCCTCCCTGGAAAAATTATCTCTGGAGGTGAAACCAGCCCTCTTCCAATAAAATGAAGCTGGAGAAAGTCACACCCAAAAGGTGTTAGAGAGCAGACTACAGTCAAGAGCTGATTTATCATCAGAGATGCAGCTTATGAGAGTGAAGACCCAACAGTGAAGATCCTGCACTTCCCTCTCTGCAAAATGCCCCCCACCCAAGCCCTGGTACCAATGCCCCCACAGGGCAGATTCAGCTCTGGCAAAGCCTTGGAGACCAAATGGATTCAAACCTCCGTGGCTAGAAGGTCTATATCTCGAGAGCTGCCCACCTGTAGTTTTAATGCTCTCTCTTCCTCACTGTCTGCATCAAGAAGGTCGTCGATGTCGATTTCCACGTCTGGCATTTCTTCTTCCTGTGGGCAAAAATGAAGGCGTTTTATTTATGGGGCAATGTATATTGTGCCAAATCAATTTAATTGAGTTAAATAAATGACTAGATTATCTACGGAAAGGGGATGAGGGCTAAGAAGGGGAAGGAGATACTTCAGGGAGGAGAAGGGGAATGGGAGAGGATAAGAAAGGGGAAGAGGGGATGGGGGAGGAGGGGAAAGAGAAAAGGGGAAAAGGAGGGAAGGGAGAAAACACAGAGGGACGGAGGGAGGGAGTCAAGAGCTTTAAAAGTCACAAAACAAAAAAGTGCTATTCAGAAATGACAATTTTCTACTTGCTAACAGATCACACCTGTGTGTACAATGGCGGGCAGGCAGACCACAGACCKGGTGGGAAGAGTCGCAGTTCCCCACCCAGCATCGACCCCTCTCTGCCTACTCAGTCTTCATGCAGTGACCCACATGTCCCTTCCGAGCTCAGCTCGGGGTCTGGGAAAACCCCGAGACCCCGCGAGGCCACCACAGGTTCTGGGGCATTAGTAATGCCCCAGCCATTTCTGATCTGAAGAGGATGTGTGATCCAACTCAGACCCAGGGAGACTCTGGGAAAGAAGCTCTTCCTCCAAGGGCACCCCCCCCAACACACACACACACACACACACACACACTCCCTGTGAACTGAGCATGGGTTGAGGAAGCACATAGCCCTGGAAGCCACGAAGAGAGGCTGGTTCAGGATGAGGCGGAATCCATGCTGCAAAAAGAAGGGAGAAACAACCCAAAAAAGCAGGTTCTGGATAAAATTACTAAGACATYAGGTMAAACCATGTCTGAGTAGGTGAACAAACCCTGCATGTGGCTTTAGCCAGTATGGGTTGAGCAACCAAAGATATCCAGTCCAGAAAAGAGGGCTTTAGAGAGGTGAAAGACTTGGCTAACTTGGAATCTGAACTTATTTTTTCTCTTTTTAATTTGTTCTAATTAGTTATACATGATGTAAAATTCATTTTGACACATCATACATAAATGGAGTATAACTTCTCATTCTCTGTTGTACACGATGTAGGATCACACTGGTTGTGTAGTCAGACATGCACATAGTGTAATAATGATCGATTCATTCTACTGTCCTTCTGTTAATGGTTTGGATGTGAGGTGTCCCCTCAAAAGTTTACATGTGGAACAATTCAAGAAAGTTTGGAGGAGAATGATTGGATCATGGCCTTCACCTAATCAGTGAATTGATCCCTAATGAGATTAACTGAGTGGTAACCTGGAGGCAGGTGGGGCGTGGCTGGAGGAAGTGGTTCATTGGGGGTGTGGCTATGGGGTATATATTTTGTATTTGGAGAATAGTCAGTCAGTCTCAGTCCCCCCACCCTCTCCCCCCTAATCTCTATATTAGCTGCTTCCATTTGCCACACTCTTCCACCATGTTGTTCAGCCTCTCTTCCAGCCCTGAGGAATCGATCCAGCCTTCTCTGAAACCTTGAGCCCTCAAACTTTTGCTCCTCTACAGTTATGCTGGTCGGGTCATTTAGTCACAGTGGTGAAAAAGCTAACTAAAACAATTTCCTACCTCCATACTTCCTCCCCTCCCTTCACTCCCCTCCGCTATTCCAAAATACCTCTATTAGAATCTGAACTTCTAACACAAGTAGACCTGGGCTCCTTCTCATCTCTTCTGTTACCTAAACCACCTCTATACCTCCCAGATCTTAAAATGTCAAAATAAAGTAGCATGTAAGAGAGACCTGTAATTTTGCATTTCATTTTCTCTGTGCAGTCACCTGCAGCCCAACTCCTCCCAGCCACCCGGATGGCGGAGCACTATCCTCAGGAGCTGGAGAGAAAGCTGCACACTAGGACACCTGGGAGGCCCCCCACCTGGCTTAGCTACTCTGTGTAAGCTATCTCCTCTTGACTTCTGGGGCAAGGCTGACTTTCTGAATACTTCTTTTCTAGGAAAATGAACTTAGCACTCGACCTGTTATGTGTTTGGTTCCAATATAAAACAAGGACCCAAGTACATTGGAGAAACAGGAATATGACCCCCTACCTCTAGTAACACTAGATTCCAAGGGCAGACCCTTAATGGGCAGGAAAATTCCAGAAACAATCCTTCATTTGAGCCACTAGTGACTTATCCCTGGTCCCATGGAGAATTTCTGTTTAGAGATTTTGTTCAGATATTAAGAATTAACCCACTTGGACACAGTATTGATTATGGATGTGAACACTTTAGATCTCACCTGCAAGGCTTTACCTTTGTATTTTCATATCTGCACTTAATGATAATTTACCTATTAGCGGAAACTGGTGATCTAGCAGTAGGAAGCTTCAATGTTTTGACAAAAGTCAGCCTGCAAGGTGACCTTTCTCTTGTTAGGACATGGATTCTGGGAGTCTGGCAGCTGGGTCAAACCAGTTGTGACTCTGGGGCACATTATTCTGTATATAAATGATAATTAATGAATATAAATGATGTATGAAATGCCAACTATCTTTGATGCATGGATTAAATTAGTTAATTGACATGAAGCCATCAGAATAGTACCTGACACACAGATAAGACAACCAGAGCACTGGTGATTATTTCTAAGGTATTATAAAATAAATTTAAAACACAATCACCTGGTTTCCCAGGATATCAAGGTGAGGGGTATGAATATGACTTTGAGAATTGCTGAGGGTACCTTCCTTGTCCTGGGAACTTCATCTGTATGAGCCAATGAATACAGGCATCCCTGGCCTCTGAATGGACGCTGCTGGGCTGCTGTGACTTTTCCATCCTTCCCTGGATCCAGCCATCTCACACTCGCATCCAGCCAGTCAACCTCTCAGACTAATACAAAGCAGCTGTTTCCAATGAGATGTCATGTTTAACCTCTCCTCAGGGAGAGGAAAGTGGGTACTAGTGTGCCTCCATCAGGGAAGAGGATGCTGGAAGGATCTCAGAACACCGGAAACCCACCCAGGACACCGGTATTGCTTTGCTCTGCAGGTGCCAGCCTCCTTGGCACCACCACTGGCCCTCCACCATGTTGTTGTTCTCTTGTCCAGGTGTTCTTGGGTCCAGCCATCTAATTTTGTGTATATTTGGAATCATGTTTGAAAGGAACACTGGTAGGAGAAGAAGAGGAACTTTTAGGAGGACCTCAAATAGAGAGCAGTCCATACAACTTGAAAGTGTAGCCTGATAAAAGCAGCAGAGCTTTCAAAGGTTGGCCAGAATTTCCAGGGAAAGGACCACTGGGGACACAAACACCAACAAAGAAACTCACTAGATTACAGAAGAACTGACAACCCAGGAACACAGATTGCTGGTGGCAGGCCCCAGCACAGATGAATCACCCTCAGAACGGCCCAGTCCAGTGGAGGGCAAAGGCCATCATGAATCAGACCCTGAAGAAGAGCTGAGTAAATGCTGCATTTGTGTTTTGGAAAGTGCAGCTCAAGATGAATTCAGTTACGTCCACGATGCCAGGTAGCTTTAGTAACTACCATACAAGGCCAGAACGGCCCAGCCGGTCTCAGCCAACTCCATTCAAGAAAAGCCAAACAAAATAGATGAATCGGCAAGTCCCAATCTGTGTGACCGTCTACAGAACCTCCTCCTATCTTTTCCTGCTCTTCCCCTCAACCAGTCCCTTGGTTCCGTATTTATATTCTGTAGACACAAAGCATACATTATGTCATGGCTTAATGAAATCAGGCAAAGGAAGCTGGATATAAAACCTGTTGAAGGGACTGCAGCCAAGAGGAGCTTGGTGTCTACCATTCTTAAAGGGAGTGAAGGAATAGTACGTTCCCAGTGCTCTCCTCAGAACAGCACAGCCACACGGTTCCTGCAAACTTTACTGACACACTTTTGATGACACTTGGTCAAATGGCTTTCACTGTGAGTCAAGCCAGATGTCCCTTCATTAGGACTGCACAGGGCTCTCTGTTAGGTACTGTGTTTGACCTATCTCCCCCACCCTGGAGATCTGGGCTGTCCCTATGGCAACCACATGTGGTACTTAAATTCATAACAATGATGACTTCCATTCTCACTCACACCAGCCACATGCACCAAACAGCTACTGCACTAAAAAGCACAGACTCACAACACTTTTTGTCATCATAGAAGGTTCCATTGGACAGCGCTGACCTGCAGTCCACTAGCTCTCTGGCCTAGAATTAAGAAGCAAAGCCCCTTTCCCCTCTCTAAAGGCAAGGAACCTGGTATCTCAAGGTCACTCCTACCACCCAAGGGCGTGTGGCTGGGAAACCCTGGGCAAGCTGAAGCAAGCAGAGTGCTCATGGAGTAATCATGGCCCTCATTAGGCATCAACACTTTCCACCCATCTGTGAGTCTCTCCTTTCCCAATCAGATTCTTCAGGCCTGGGAGGAGAAAGAGCTCAGCGTGCTTGCCAGGAGCACAGAGCAGAGTGTTCCCGCTGCTGGAGAGTCTGCATTCAGGGAGAGTCTGCATTCAGGGASAGTCTCCTCAGCCCTGTGTTCCAAGTATTAATGCTGGAGCAGTAGGACGGAAAGACCTCAGTGACAGGCCAAACCCTTACAAGGGGGTGAAGACACCCACAGCCACAGTGTACCAGGGTTTGGTTGCATGTGGATATTTGCCTCACATTAAAGATGTCTCCCCAAACAGTGGCTGCGGTGACAAGAAGCGAAAGTCAGGGGCCCTCCTGGTGACACTGATGAATCCCCATTGGGAAGCAGCGGCAGAGGGGCGGCCTGCGCAAACTGGAGTGTGGGCTGTGGGCACCAGCGGCTGGCGGCTGGCGTGGGCCGGAAGCCTGGTAAGCCAGAGCTGAGGTGAACCAGCGGGGGGGCCCCACCCCCACCCTGACTGGTGAGTGTGAGGAGACGGAAGTGGGGGCAGATCCTGACAGAGATTGAAGGGAAGTTCAGACTGGGCTAACCAAAACCACTGGCACTTTCTGAGTCCTAGTGAGCATAAATTTGAACCCACAGCATGCTGGTACTTTTCCAGAACCTGATTAGCAAAATATGAACA